AATATGCCAAACAAGCGACAACAGGGGCCCATGACAGATTACGGGCCTGGCAGCAGCATGAGGAGTCGGTACGGGGGCCCATGGCAGATTACGGGCCTGGCAGCAGCTATGGGAGGCCCGTAATCTGCCAGCACCCTATGACAAAAAATGGAACGCACCAGCAGTGTGTGAGGAGACCTGAAAGTGGCACATGGCAGAGTGTGGCGATGGAGACAGCAGCAATGGGAGGCCGTACAGGGACCATGAGAGACTCTGGACCTGGCAGCAGATGAGGAGGCTGGGTGGTACAGGGGGGCAATGGCAGGATTACGGGCCTGGCAGCAGCAATGGGAGGCCAGTAATCTGGCCAGCACCCTATGACAAAAAAATGTAACACAACAGCAGTGTGAGGAGACCTGAAAGTGGCACATGGCATGTAGGACACTGTGGACACAATGGGAGGCCGTACAGGGACCCATGAGACACTCTGGACCTGGCAGCAGCATGAGGAGGCGGGTACAGGGGCCCATGGCAGATTACGGGCCTGGCAGCAGCAATGGGAGGCCCGTAATCTGCCAGCACCCTATGACAAAAAATGGAACACACCAGCAGTGTGAGGAGACCTGAAAGTGGCACATGTTTGGGGCATGATTCATGGCGGATTTAGTCAGTTGTGTCAGGAATGGTGGTTTGAAATCCAGAGACTAATCCACGCCTGATTCATTTTCACAAACGTGAGTCTCTCCACACTTTGGTAGGTGGACAGTCGTGTCCTCCGCGGAGTTACAATACCTCCTGCCGCACTAAACACGCGCTCCGATGCCACGCTACTGGCCGGGCATGACAGCCTTTCAAGGGCAAATTCAGCTAGTTGGGGCCAAAGGTCAAGTTTCGTTGCCCAGTAGTCAAGGGGATTGTCTACCTCGGTTGGCAGGGTGCTGTCCAAGTAGGCCTAAGCCTGTTGTTTGAGGTCCTGCTCCAGGTCCACCTGATGCTGCTGCTGCTGCTGCGGCTGGTTAGTAGTTTCCTCACTGCGCTGGTGAAGAAAGCTACTCATCATCGACTGCAGACTGAGGCAGCCTGCTGCTGGTGGAGCTGCCACTGCTCCTACCACCCCACCCCTCCCCTGCTGCCATGGCAGCGGAACGCGAGCGCACAGGGCCCACAGTGTCTGAGGATGGACGTTGGCGCAGAAAGGCAGAGACCAGCTGACTGACTACATAGGTGGTTTTTATAGTACGTTATTTGGCCTCCCTCTCAGCAGGTGTGAAAAAGGCCACCATTTTTGAACGGTAGCGAGGGTCCAACAAGGTGGACAGCCAAAAGTCATCCCTCTGTCTGATGGTTATTATTCGGCTGTCGCTACGCAAGCAAGCGAGCATGCTATGGGCCATTTGTGCCAAGGAATGCGAGGGACTCCCTGCCTCCATCTCCACAGCATACTGCCACGGTGCGTCTGGGTCCTCTGTCCTCCTCCTCCTCCTCCTCTACCAGATGCTCCTGCTCCTCCACTCCTGTCCGCTGAGTGGAAAAACCACCCATTTCACTCAATAATTCCTGAGCACCAATGTCCTCCTCTACCTCCTCCTCTTTCTTCCTGTCCTGCCCCCACAGGGGTCATGTGGCGTTGAGATCTGTGCGCCACGTCTACCGCACCCTGACCAGCCATTGTTAACAGCATTTGTTCCAGGACGTGCAACAGAGGAATGACGTCGTTCATCCCATAGTCCTGCCGACTCACGAATAGCGTGGCCTCCTCAAAGGGCCTGAGCAAGCGCAGGTGTCACGCATGAGCTGCCAATGGCTGACATCTAAGTTACACAGGGGAGTACCTTTATCCGCTTGTAACATCAGGAAATCTGTGATGGCCTTTCGCTGTTCGTAAAGGCGGTCTAACATATGTAGGGTTGAATTCCACCTTGTTGCAACGTCACAGCATGAGGAGTCGGTACGGGGGGCCCATGGCAGATTACGGGCCTGGCAGCAGCAATGGGAGGCCCGTAATCTGCCAGCACCCTATGACAAAAAATGGAACACACCAGCAGTGTGAGGAGACCTGAAAGTGGCACATGGCAGAGTGTGGCGATGGAGACAGCAGCAATGGGAGGCCGTACAGGGACCCATGAGAGACTCTGGACCTGGCAGCAGCATGAGGAGGCGGGGTATAGGGGCCCATGGCAGATTAGGGGGCCTGGCAGCAGCTATGGGAGGCCGTAATCTGCCAGCACCCTATGACAAAAAATGGAACACACCAGCAGTGTGAGGAGACCTGAAAGTGGCACATGGCAGAGTGTGGCGATGGAGACAGCAGCAATGGGAGGCCGTACAGGGCATGAGTACAGGGGACCCATGAGAGACTCTGTATAGGGACCTGGCAGATTAGGGGCCAGCAGCTATGGGAGGCCGTAATCTGCCAGGCCCATGACAGAAAAAGGAACACACCAGCAGTGTGAGGAGGACCGTAATCTGCCAGCACCCTATGACAAAAGTGTGGCGATGGAGACAGCAGCAGTGTGAGGAGACCTGAAAGTGGCACCCATGAGACACTGTGGACCTGGCAGCAGCATGAGGAGGCGGTACAGGGGCCCATGGCAGATTAGGGGCCTGGCAGCAGCTATGGGAGGCCCGTAATCTGCCAGCACCCTATGACAAAAAATGGAACACACCAGCAGTGTGTGAGGAGACCTGAAAGTGGCACATGGCAGAGTGTGGCGATGGAGACAGCAGCAATGGGGAGGCCGTACAGGGACCCATGAGAGACTCTGGACCTGGCAGCAGCATGAGGAGGCGGTATAGGGGCCCATGGCAGATTAGGGGCCTGGCAGCAGCTATGGGAGGCCCGTAATCTGCCAGCACCCTATGACAAAAAATGGAACACACCAGCAGTGTGAGGAGACCTGAAAGTGGCACATGGCAGAGTGTGGCGATGGAGACACAGCAGCAATGGGAGGCCGTACAGGGACCCATGAGAGACTCTGGACCTGGCAGCAGCAGCATGAGGAGGCGGTATAGGGGCCCATGGCAGATTAGGGGCCTGGCAGCAGCTATGGGAGGCCCGTAATCTGCCAGCACCCTATGACAAAAAAATGGAAACACACCAGCAGTGTGAGGAGACCTGAAAGTGGCACATGGCAGATGTGGCTGATGGACCTGGACAGCAGCATGGGAGGCCGTACAGGGGCCCATGAGAGACTTACCTGGCAGCAGCATGAGGAGGCAGGATTACAGGGGCCCTGGCAGATTAGCCTGGCAGCTATGGGAGGCCCGTAATCTGCCAGCACCCTATGACAAAAAATGGAACACACCAGCAGTGTGTGAGGAGACCTGAAAGTGGCACATGGCAGAGTGTGGCGATGGAGACAGCAGCAATGGGAGGCCGTACAGGGACCCATGAGAGACTCTGGACCTGGCAGCAGCATGAGGAGGCGGTATAGGGGCCCATGGCAGATTAGGGGCCTGGCAGCAGCTATGGGAGGCCCGTAATCTGCCAGCACCCTATGACAAAAAATGGAACACACCAGCAGTGTGAGGAGACCTGAAAGTGGCACAGGAGACCTGAAAGTGGCACATGGCAGAGTGTGGCGATGGAGACAGCAGCAATGGGAGGCCGTACAGGGACCCATGAGAGACTCTGGACTGGCAGCAGCATGAGGAGGAGGGGCGGTAGGGGCCCATGGCAGATTAGGGGCCTGGCAGCAGCTATGGGAGGCCCGTAATCTGCCAGCACCCTATGACAAAAAATGGAACACACAGCAGTGTGTGAGGAGACCTGAAAGTGGCAGAGTGTGGCGATGGAGACAGCAGCAATGGGAGGCGTACAGGGACCCATGAGAGACTCTGGACCTGGCAGCAGCATGAGGAGGCGGTATACAGGGGCCCATGGCAGATTAGGGGCCTGGCAGCAGCTATGGGGGCCCGTAATCTGCCAGCACCCTATGACAAAAAATGGAACACACACACCAGCAGTGTGAGGAGACCTGAAAGTGGCACATGGCAGAGTGTGGCGATGGAGACAGCAGCAATGGGAGGCCGTACAGGGACCCATGAGAGACTCTGGACCTGGCAGCAGCATGAGGAGGCGGGTATAGGGGCCCATGGCAGATTAGGGGCCTGGCAGCAGCTATGGGAGGCCCGTAATCTGCCAGCACCCTATGACAAAAAATGGAACACACCAGCAGTGTGTGAGGAGACCTGAAAGTGGCACATGGCAGAGTGTGGCGATGGAGACAGCAGCAGCAATGGGAGACACAGGGTGAGGACTCTGGACCTGGCAGCAGCATGAGGAGGCGGTACAGGGGCCCATGGCAGATTAGGGGCCTGGCAGCAGCTATGGGAGGCCCGTAATCTGCCAGCACCCTATGACAAAAAAAATGGAACACACCAGCAGTGTGTGAGGAGACCTGAAAGTGGCACATGGCAGAGTGTGGCGATGGAGACAGCAGCAATGGGAGGCCGTACAGGGACCCATGAGACTCTGGACTCTGGACCTGGCAGCAGCATGAGGAGGGGCGGTATACAGGGGCCCATGGCAGATTAGGGGCCTGGCAGCAGCAGCTATGGGAGGCCCGTAATCTGCCAGCACCCTATGACAAAAAAATGGAACACACCAGCAGTGTGTGAGGAGACCTGAAAGTGGCACATGGCAGAGTTGTGGCGATGGACCTGGACAGCAGCAATGGGAGGCCGTACAGGGACCCATGAGAGACTCTGGACCTGGCAGCAGCATGAGGAGGCGGTATAGGGGCCCATGGCAGATTAGGGGCCTGGCAGCAGCTATGGGAGGCCCGTAATCTGCCAGCACCCTATGACAAAAAATGGAAACACACACAGCAGTGTGAGGAGACCTGAAAGTGGCACATGGCACATGGCATGGAGACAGAGCATGGGAGACGTACAGGGACCCATGCAGACTCTGGACCTGGAGCAGCATGAGGAGGCGGTACAGGGGCCCATGGCAGATTAGGGGCCTGGCAGCAGCTATGGGAGGCCCGTAATCTGCCAGCACCCTATGACAAAAAATGGGAAACACACCAGCAGTGTGAGGAGACCTGAAAGTGGTGGCACATGGCATGAGACACTGCAATGGACCCGTGGCAGCAGCATGACCTGGGCAGGCATGGTACAGGGGCCCATGGCAGATTAGGGGCCTGGCAGCAGCTATGGGAGGCCCGTAATCTGCCAGCACCCTATGACAAAAAATGAAAACACCAGCAGTGTGTGAGGAGACCTGAAAGTGGCACATGGCAGAGTGTGGCGATGGAGACAGCAGCAATGGGAGGGCCGTACAGGGACCCATGAGAGACTCTGGACCTGGCAGCAGCATGAGGAGGCGGTATAGGGGCCCATGGCAGATTAGGGGCCCTGGCTATGGGAGGCCCGTAATCTGCCAGCAGCTATGACAAAAAAGGCCCGTAATCTGCCAGCACCCTATGACAAAAAATGGAACATGGCACACCAGCAGAGTGTGAGGAGACCTGCAGCAAAGTGGCACATGGCATGAGACACTGTGGACCTGGCAGCAGCATGAGGAGGGAGGAGGCGGTAGGGGGCCCATGGCAGATTAGGGGCCTGGCAGCAGCTATGGGAGGCCCGTAATCTGCCAGCACCCTATGACAAAAAAAACACACAGCAGTGTGTGAGGAGACCTGAAAGTGGCACATGGCAGAGTGTGGCGATGGAGACAGACAGCATGGGGGAGGCCGTACAGGGACCCATGAGAGACTCTGGACCTGGCAGCAGCATGAGGAGGGCGGTACGGTATAGGGGCCCATGGCAGATTAGGGGCCTGGCAGCAGCTATGGGAGGCCCGTAATCTGCCAGCACCCTATGACAAAAAATGGAACACACCAGCAGTGTGTGAGGAGACCTGAAAGTGGCACATGGCAGAGTGTGGCAGTGTGTGGCGATGGAGACAGCAGCAATGGGAGGCCGTACAGGGACCCATGAGAGACTCTGGACCTGGCAGCAGCATGAGGAGGCGGGCGGTATAGGGGCCCATGGCAGATTAGGGGCCTGGGCAGCAGCTATGGGAGGCCCGTAATCTGCCAGCACCCTATGACAAAAAATGGAACACACCAGCAGTGTGAGGAGACCTGAAAGTGGCACATGGCATGAGAGCAGCAGCAATGGGTGGACCATGAGAGACTGTGCACTGGCAGCAGCATGAGGAGGCGGTACAGGGGCCCATGGCAGATTAGGGGCCTGGCAGCAGCTATGGGAGGCCCGTAATCTGCCAGCACCCTATGACAAAAAATGGAACACACCAGCAGTGTGTGAGGAGACCTGAAAGTGGCACATGGCAGAGTGTGGCGATGGAGACAGCAGCAATGGGAGGCCGTACAGGGACCCATGAGAGACTCTGGACCTGGCAGCAGCATGAAGGGAGGCGGTATAGGGGCCCATGGCAGATTAGGGGCCTGGCAGCAGCTATGGGAGGCCCGTAATCTGCTGCCAGCCCTATGACAAAAAATGGAACACACCAGCAGTGTGAGGAGACCTGAAAGTGGCACATGGCATGAGTGTGGCGACTGGAGACAGCAGCAGCATACAGGGACCCATGAGGAGGCTGGACCTGGCAGCAGCATGAGGAGGCGGTATAGGGGCCCCATGGCAGATTAGGGGGCCTGGCAGCAGCTATGGGAGGCCCGTAATCTGCCAGCACCCTATGACAAAAAATGGAACACACCAGCAGTGTGTGGAGACCTGAAAGTGGCACATGGCAGAGTGTGGCGATGGAGACAGCAGCAATGGGAGGCCGTACAGGGACCCATGACTCTGAGACTCTGGACCTGGCAGCAGCATGAGGAGGCGGTATAGGGGCCCATGGCAGATTAGGGGCCTGGCAGCAGCTATGGGAGGCCCGTAATCTGCCAGCACCCTATGACAAAAAATGGAACACACCAGCAGTGTGAGGAGACCTGAAAGTGGCACATGGCATGAGACACTGTGGACGATGGAGCAGCAGCATGGGAGGCCGTACAGGGACCCATGGAGACTTCTGGACCTGGCAGCAGATTAGGGTATAGGGGCCCATGGCAGATTAGGGGCCTGGCAGCAGCTATGGGAGGCCCGTAATCTGCCAGCACCCTATGACAAAAAATGGAACACACCAGCAGTGTGTGAGGAGACCTGAAAGTGGCACATGGCAGAGTGTGGCGTGGCGATGGAGACAGCAGCAATGGGAGGCCGTACAGGGACCCATGAGAGACTCTGGACCTGGCAGCAGCATGAGGAGGCGGGTATTAGGGGGCCCATGGCAGATTAGGGGCCTGGCAGCAGCAGCTATGGGAGGCCCGTAATCTGCCAGCACCCTATGACAAAAAATGGCCACACACCACCAGCAGTGTGAGGAGACCAAAAAGTGAACATGGCAGAGTGTGGTGAGGAGACCTGAAAGTGGGAGGCACGTACAGGGCATGTGGCAGCTCTGGACCTGGCAGCAGCATGATGGGAGGCGGGTATATAGGGGCCCATGGCAGATTAGGGGCCTGGCGCAGCAGCTATGGGAGGCCCGTAATCTGCCAGCAGCCCTATGACAAAAAAAAAATGGAACACACCAGCAGTGTGTGAGGAGACCTGAAAGTGGCACATGGCAGAGTGTGGCGATGGAGACAGCAGCAATGGGAGGCCGTACAGGGACCATGAGAGACTCTGGACCTGGCAGCAGCATGAGGAGGGGTATAGGGGCCCATGGCAGATTAGGGGCCTGGCAGCAGCTATGGGAGGCCCGTAATCTGCCAGCACCCTATGACAAAAAATTGAAACACACCAGCAGTGTGTGAGGAGACCTGAAAGTGGCACATGGCAGAGTGTGGCGATGGAGACAGCAGCAATGGGAGGCCGTACAGGGACCCATGAGAGACTCTGGACCTGGCAGCAGCATGAGGAGGCGGTATAGGGGCCCATGGCAGATTAGGGGCCTGGGCAGCAGCAGCTATGGGAGGCCCGTAATCTGCCAGCACCCTATGACAAAAATGAAAACACACCAGCAGTGTGAGGAGACCTGAAAGTGGCACATGGCATGAGACACGATGTGGACCTGGCAGCAGCATGAGGAGGGGGTACAGGGGCCCATGGCAGATTAGGGGCCCATGGCAGATTAGGGGCCTGGCAGCAGCTATGGGAGGCCCGTAATCTGCCAGCACCCTATGACAAAAAATGGAACACACCAGCAGTGTGTGAGGACCTGAAGTGGCCTGGAAAGTGGCACATGGCAGAGTGTGGCGATGGAGACAGCAGCAATGGGAGGCCGTACAGGGACCCCATGAGAGACTCTGGACCTGGCAGCAGCATGAGGAGGCGGTATAGGGGCCCATGGCAGATTAGGGGCCTGGCAGCAGCTATGGGAGGCCCGTAATCTGCCAGCACCCTATGACAAAAAAATGGAACACACCAGCAGTGTGAGGAGACCTGAAAGTGGCACATGGCACATGGATGAGACAGCAGCAATGGGAGGCCGTACAGGGTGAGAGACTCTGGACCTGGCAGCAGCATGAGGAGGCGGTACAGGGGCCCATGCAGAGATTAGGGGCCTGGCAGCAGCTATGGGAGGCCCGTAATCTGCCAGCACCCTATGACAAAAAATGTAACACACCAGCAGTGTGAGGAGACCTGAAAGTGGCACATGGCAGAGTGTGGCGATGGAGACAGCAGCAATGGGAGGCCGTACAGGGACCCATGAGAGACTCTGGACCTGGCAGCAGCATGAGGAGGCGGTATAGGGGCCCATGGCAGATTAGGGGCCTGGCAGCAGCTATGGGAGGCCCGTAATCTGCCAGCACCCTATGACAAAAAAATGGAACACACCAGCAGTGTGTGAGGAGACCTGAAAGTGGCACATGGCAGAGTGTGGCGATGGAGACAGCAGCAATGGGAGGCCGTACAGGGACCCATGAGAGACTCTGGACTGGCAGCAGCATGAGGAGGCGGTATAGGGGCCCATGGCAGATTAGGGGCCTGGCAGCAGCTATGGGAGGCCCGTAATCTGCCAGCACCCTATGACAAAAAATGGAAACACACCAGCAGTGTGTGAGGAGACCTGAAAGTGGCACATGGCAGAGTGTGGCGATGGAGACAGCAGCAATGGGAGGCCGTACAGGGACCCATGAGAGACTCTGGACCTGGCAGCAGCATGAGGGAGGCGGTATAGGGGCCCATGGCAGATTAGGGGCCTGGCAGCAGCTATGGGAGGCCCGTAATCTGCCAGCACCCCCTATGTGAAAAAAATGGAACACACCAGCAGTGTGTGAGGAGACCTGAAAGTGGCACATGGCAGAGACACTGTGGACCTGGCAGCAGCATGAGGAGGCGGGTACAGGGGCCCATGGCAGATTAGGGGCCTGGCAGCAGCTATGGGAGGCCCGTAATCTGCCAGCACCCTATGACAAAAAATGGAACACACCAGCAGTGTGAGGAGACCTGAAAGTGGCACATGGCAGAGTGTGGCGATGGAGACAGCAGCTGTGGACCATGAGAGACTCTGGACTTGGCAGCAGCAGCATGAGGAGGCGGGTACAGGGGCCCATGGCAGATTAGGGGCCTGGCAGCAGCTATGGGAGGCCCGTAATCTGCCAGCACCCTATGACAAAAAATGGAACACACACCAGCAGTGTGTGTGAGGAGACCTGAAAGTGGCACATGGCAGAGTGTGGCGATGGAGACAGCAGCAATGGGAGGCCGTACAGGGACCCATGAGAGACTCTGGACCTGGCAGCAGCATGAGGAGGGGCGGTATATAGGGGCCATGGCAGATTAGGGGCCTGGCAGCAGCTATGGGAGGCCCGTAATCTGCCAGCACCCTATGACAAAAAATGGAACACACCAGCAGTGTGAGGAGACCTGAAAGTGGCACATGGCATGGCAGAGTGTGTGGCGATGGAGACAGCAGCAATGGGAGGCCGTACAGGGACCCATGAGAGACTCTGGACCTGGCAGCAGCATGAGGAGGCGGTATAGGGGCCCATGGCAGATTAGGGGCCTGGCAGCAGCTATGGGAGCCCGTAATCTGTAATCTGCCAGCACCCTAGTGACAAAAAATGGAACACAGTGGCACATGGCAGTGTGGGAGAGACCTGAAAGGCCGTGGCACATGGCATGAGACACTGTGGACCTGGCAGCAGCATGAGGAGGCGGTACAGGGGCCCATGGCAGATTAGGGGCCTGGCAGCAGCTATGGGAGGCCCGTAATCTGCCAGCACCCTATGACAAAAAAATGAAACACACCAGCAGTGTGTGAGGAGACCTGAAAGTGGCACATGGCAGAGTGTGGCGATGGAGACAGCAGCAATGGGAGGCCGTACAGGGACCCATGAGAGACTCTGGACCTGGCAGCAGCATGAGGAGGCGGTATAGGGGCCCATGGCAGATTAGGGGCCTGGCAGCAGCTATGGGAGGCCCGTAATCTGCCAGCACCCTATGACAAAAAATGGAACACACCAGCAGTGTGAGGAGACCTGAAAGTGGCACATGGCAGAGACACTGTGGACCTGGACCTGGCAGCAGCATGAGGAGGCGGGTACAGGGCCCATGGCAGATTAGGGGCCTGTGGGCAGCAGCTATGGGAGCCGTAATCTGCCAGCACCCTATGACAAAAAATGGAAACACACCAGCAGTGTGTGAGGAGACCTGAAAGTGGCACATGGCAGAGTGTGGCGATGGAGACAGCAGCAATGGGAGGCCGTACAGGGACCCATGAGAGACTCTGGACCTGGCAGCAGCATGAGGAGGCGGTATAGGGGCCCATGGCAGATTAGGGGCCTGGCAGCAGCTATGGGAGGCCCGTAATCTGCCAGCACCCTATGACAAAAAAATGGAACACACCAGCAGTGTGTGAGGAGACCTGAAAGTGGCACATGGCAGAGTGTGGCGATGGAGACAGCAGCAATGGGAGGCCGCCGTACAGGGACCCATGAGAGACTCTGGACCTGGCAGCTGCATGAGGAGGCGGGTATAGGGGCCCATGGCAGATTAGGGGCCTGGCAGCAGCAGCTATGGGAGGCCCGTAATCTGCCAGCACCCTATGACAAAAAAATGGAACACACCAGCAGTGTGAGGAGACCTGAAAGTGGCACATGGCAGATGAGACACTGCAATGGACAGGGAGCAGCATGAGGACTCTGGACTTGGCAGCAGCATGAGGAGGCGGTTATAGGGGCCCATGGCAGATTAGGGGCCTGGCAGCAGCTATGGGAGGCCCGTAATCTGCCTGCCAGCACCCTATGACAAAAAATGGAACACACCAGCAGTGTGTGAGGAGACCTGAAAGTGGCACATGGCAGAGTGTGGCGATGGAGACAGCAGCAATGGGAGGCCGTACAGGGACCCATGAGAGACTCTGGACCTGGCAGCAGCATGAGGAGGCGGTATAGGGGCCCATGGCAGATTAGGGCCTGGCAGCAGCTATGGGAGGCCCGTAATCTGCCAGCACCCTATGACAAAAAATGGAACACACCAGCAGTGTGAGGAGACCTGAAAGTGGCACATGTTTGGGGCATGATTCATGGCGGATTTAGTCAGTTGTGTCAGGAACTGGTGGTTTGAAATCCAGACTAATCCACGCCTGATTCATTTTCACAAAACGTGAGTCTCTCCACACTTTGGGTGGACAGTCGTGTCCTCCGCGGAGTTACAATACCTCCTGCCGCACTAAACACGCGCTCCGATGCCACGCTACTGGCCGGGGCATGACAGCCTTTCAAGGGCAAATTCAGCTAGTTGGGGCCAAAGGTCAAGTTTCGTTGCCCAGTAGTCAAGGGGATTGTCTACCTCGGTTGGCAGGGTGCTGTCCAAGTAGGCCCAAGCCTGTTGTTTGAGGTCCTGCTCCAGGTCCACCTGATGCTGCTGCTGCTGCTGCGGCTGGTTAGTAGTTTCCTCACTGCGCTGGTGGAAGAAAGCTACTCATCATCGACTGCAGACTGAGGCAGCCGCTGCTGGTGGAGCTGCCACTGCTCCTACCACCCCACCCCTCCCCTGCTGCCATGGCAGCGGAACGCGAGCGCACAGGACAGGCCCACAGTGTCTGAGGATGGACGTTGGCGCAGAAAGGCAGAGACCAACTGACTACATAGGTGGTTTTTATAGTACGTTATTTTGGCCTCCCTCTCAGCAGGTGTGAAAAAGGCCACCATTTTTGAACGGTAGCGAGGGTCCAACAAGGTGGACAGCCAAAAGTCATCCCTCTGTCTGATGGTTATTATTCGGCTGTCGCTACGCAAGCAAACCGAGCATGCTATGGGCCATTTGTGCCAAGGAATGCGAGGGACTCCCTGCCTCCATCTCCACAGCATACTGCCACGGTGCGTCTGGGTCCTCTGTCTCCTCCTCCTCCTCCTCCTCTACCAGATGCTCCTGCTCCTCCACTCCTGTCCGCTGAGTGGAAAAACCACCCATTTCACTCAATAATTCCTGAGCACAAATGTCCTCCTCTACCTCCTCCTCTTCTTCCTGTCCTGCCCCCCACAGGGGTCATGTGGCGTTGAGATCTGTGCGCCACGTCTACCGCACCCTGACCAGCCATTGTTAACAGCATTTGTTCCAGGACGTGCAACAGAGGAATGACGTCGTTCATCCCATAGTCCTGCCGACTCACGAATAGCGTGGCCTCCTCAAAGGGCCTGAGCAAGCGGCAGGTGTCACGCATGAGCTGCCAATGGCTGACATCGAAGTTACACAGGGGAGTACCTTTATCCGCTTGTAACATCAGGAAATCGGTGATGGCCTTTCGCTGTTTGTAAAGGCGGTCTAACATGTGTAGGGTTGAATTCCACCTTGTTGCAACGTCGCAGATCAGGCGATGCTGTGGAATTCCGTTCTGCCGCTGCAGCTCAAGGAGGGTGTGCTTTGCGGTGTAGGAATGGCTGAAATGCATGCAAAGTTTACGTGACATTTTAAGGATGTCTTGCAGTGGGGATGGTGGATTTTAGGAACCGCTTGACAACCAGATTGAACACGTGAGCCATGCATGGCGCATGGCACAACCTTCCTTGACGCAGAGCAGACACCATGTTCTTTCCGTTGTCGGTCAACATGGTTCCGATTTTCAGTTTGCGCGGAGACAGCCATCTGTCGATTTCTCTGTTCATTACACTCAGAAGTTCCTCCCCTGTGTGACTACGTTCGCCAAGGCATACCAGGTGCAGCACAGCGTGACACCGTTGCGCCCCCTGCACATGTGATATGCCGGTCGGGTAATGGGACTTGGCACGGGGGGGTGGCGGCTGAGGACACGGCGGAAGAAGAGGTGGTAGAGGCGGACATCTTTGCCGGACCAAGGACGTGCAAACGTGGAGGCAAAAAAGCGGCGTGTGACCTGTCCAAGTTGCTGGTGCGGCTGTGACGGCACCACGTTCACCCAGTGGGCCGTAAATGACATGTACTGTCCCTGACCGTAGTTACAGCTCCACACGTCGGCGCTGCCCGTGCACTTTGGCAGAGACCGATGCTCAAAGACTGGCCCACCATCTCTTCTACATGTGAATGCAGGGCTGGCACTGCCTTTTTGAAGCGAAGAAATGACGGCTTGGCACTCTCCACCGCGGCGCGGCACAAGCCATCATTTCTCGGAAAGGTGCTGAGTCCACCACTTGGAAAGGGAGGGACTGCAGCACCAGCAACTTGGACAGGAGGACGTTCAGCTTTTGCACCGTCGGGTGCGTGCTCGCAAACTGTTGTCTCTTGGAAACGGATTCCAAGAAAGACTGCTGACGGAATCCGTGAAGAGGAGTAGCAGGAGAAGGAGCATCAGAACGAGCGGAAGATGCCAACGAGCGACAACTCCCCTCAGCAGAGGTGTTGGAGCCTTGACTGGCTGATAGAGGGCGATTGACGTCGGGTGACGGAGCAAGTAACGGGAGCGGGTGATGGAGCGGGGGCTGGGGCAGGCAGAACCGCCGTATCTTTATCACGGTTTTCCAGGCCACCAAATGGCGACGCTGCATATGCTGCCGCAACGCTGTAGTCCCAACATGGGCCCCCTGGCCACGCTTGACTTTCTGGCCACATAGTCGACATACAGCTACGTTTACTTCCTCGGGCGGCTTGACAAAAAATTGCCACACCGCCGAGTAGGAAACTTTGCCCCCGATACTCCTCACTGGCTGACTGCTGCTTCCTCCGTGCACACCGGCACCACTACTGGCTGTGGTGGTAGGCTGCAGTGGAGCTGGTGCTGTACTCCGTGGCCGTTTGCCTCCACTGACACTGCTGCGACCCTGCTGCCTCCTGGGCAACCCACCGACTGTTTTGCTCGCTGCCAAGCTGCCACCCTCTTCTCCTGATGATGCGGAAGCAATAGCCTGATGACGACGAGGCTGCCAAGTGCGATCAGCCTCATCATCATCAATTAGGGTCTCCGCCTCACTACTAGCCCCCTCGGCTGCGTGTGGGTCAGGAGACAGACCTGTCTCTAGACCGGCTACCGAGCCACTCTCCTCGCCACTACTTCTTCGCCTGGCTGCTGAAGAGGCGGATGTCTCCCCCCGTTCCTGACCGCCCTCTGTTAGCTCTTCCTCACTGTACAGTGGGGCTGAGCCCACACAGCATACGATACTTCGCTTGGTGAGGGAACACCAAAGGACAGGGCAGGTCGAGGACACGTGATTTCAGTGGGCTTGCTCCCGGGCCATGCCAACTAATGGTTGTGTCTGACGTACCCACCGACCGTTGGCTGTAGGTGTCAGAGGTGACCTGGGAAGAGGAAGACGACCGAGCCAACCAATCGATGACAGCAGGGTTGTCGGTGGAGACACGACCGCTGGATGACACCGGGAGCACTGGCCTCTGGCTGCGACTAGTGCTGCCTCGACCCCTTCCTCTCTGCTGCCACGTCTGCTCGCTCCTAAAACATTGCCTCCTCTGCCACTCCTATGCATGTTGTCTGACATACTCTTTAATTAAACGATTCTGTGTCCCTGAGTAACAATTCTGTGTGTCCCCTGAGTAACAATTCTGTGTCCCTCAGTAACAATTCTGTGTCCCTCAGTAACAATTCTGTGTCTGTCCCTGAGTAACAATTCTGTGTCCCTCAGTAACAATTCTGTGTCCCTCCGTAACAATTCTGTGTCCCTCAGTAACAATTCTGTGTCTGTCCCTGAGTAACAATTCTGTGTCTGTCGCTGAGTAACAATTCTGTGTCCCTCAGTAACAATTCTGTGTCCCTGAGTAACAATTCTGTGTCTGTCCCTGAGTAACAATTCTGTGTCTGTCCCTGAGTAACAATTCTGTGTCCCTCAGTAACAATCTGTGTCCCTCAGTAACAATTCTGTGTCCCTGAGTAACAATTCTGTGTCCCTCAGTAACAATTCTGTGTCTGTCCCTGAGTAAAAATTCTGTGTCTGTAACAATTCCTGAGTAACAATTCTGTGTCCCTCAGTAACAATTCTGTGTCCCTCAGTAACAATTCTGTGTCCCTGAGTAACAATTCTGTGTCCCTGAGTAACAATTCTGTGTCCCTCAGTAACAATTCTGTGTCCCTCAGTAACAATTCTGTGTCCCTGAGTAACAATTCTGTGTCCCTCAGTAACAATTCTGTGTCCCTCAGTAACAATTCTGTGTCCCTCAGTAACAATTCTGTGTCTGTCCCTGAGTAACAATTTCTGTGTCTGTCCCTGAGTAACAATTCTGTGTCTGTCCCTGAGTAACAATTCTGTGTCCCTCAGTAACAATTCTGTGTCCCTCAGTAACAATTCTGTGTCCCTGAGTAACAATTCTGTGTCCCTCAGTAACAATTCTGTGTCCCTCAGTAACAAATTCTGTTTCTGTCCCTGAGTAACAATTCTGTGTCTGTCCCTGAGTAACAATTCTGTGTCTGTCGCTGAGTAACAATTCTGTGTCCCTGAGTAACAATTCTGTGTCCCTCAGTAACAATTCTGTGTCCCTCAGTAACAATTCTGTGTCTGTCCCCGAGTAACAATTCTGTGTCCCTCAGTAACAATTCTGTGTCCCTCAGTAACAATTCTGTGTCCCTGAGTAACAATTCTGTGTCCCTGAGTAACAATTCTGTGTCCCTCAGTAACAATTCTGTTTCCCTGAGTAACAATTCTGTGTCCCTCAGTAACAATTCTGTGTCTGTCCCCTGAGTAACAATTCTGTGTCTGTCCCTGAGTAACAATTCTGTGTCCCTGAGTAACAATTCTGTGTCCCTCAGTAACAATTCTGTGTCCCTCAGTAACAATTCTGTGTCTGTCCCTGAGTAACAATTCTGTGTCTGTCCCTAGTAACAATTCTGTGTCTGTCGCTGAGTAACAATTCTGTGTCCCTGAGTAACAATTCTGTGTCCCTCAGTAACAATTCTGTAGTGACTGGGAAGAAGCGCCTTAGTAGTAAAAATAGTAAAGCTGCTATGCACAAATGAGGTACCAATAACCCCTAAAAGACAATATGAAACATAGAATAAAGTGCAGCGCTAAACATGTATAGGTACTGACATATATACAATCAGTTTGATCCAAATACAAAAGTCCTCCTTAATTAGATGACAAAAAGTGGGTGCTCAGGTATTCAAGTGACTTGGTTCTGGTATCCGTGCACGTAAGTGATAAACAATGCGCACTCACCAGACCCGCATCAAATATGCGCCTTTGTGTATAAGTGATCCAGATGTCATCCGATACTGGGTGGTCCTTCCTCAGCTGTGTATGAGGCTGATGATCCTCTCCACTTAGGGGTCCCCCTGATATTGGACGTATAGAGATCTCTGGGTCTGGGTCCCTCCGGTGTGTCCAGGAGTGGGTCTGAAAATTAGAATGCTCCCCAAGGGGTACCAAAGATACTCCCATAGTGTAGTATTTTGTAATAAAATTGGTTTATTGAGCCTTAGGTATACAGCGTTGCAGACAGTCAATAGTGCACAACTTAACCGTCTGGAATGATAAAATGGCCGCCAGAGCTCCGCGTTGCTTCTGGACGGCGTGACTTCACGGAATTGTACTGACTTAGAAAACATTCCAAGAACAATCCTTAATATTAAAAAATCGATTTTTAGAAAAAAGGGTATGAAGAAAAAAAAAACTCTGGATGATACTATTGACTCTGTAGCTCAGCTAAATAGGAATGACCTCCTCATTGATAAACAGAGACCTAAGAAAAGCCAGATATGTCCGTTTGTTACGACATTTTCGAGGACAATATAAAAGAAATTAATCACATCATTCATAAGAATGGAAGGTTTTAAAATCTGATCCAGTACTTGCTAATATATTACCAGAGAAACCCAGAGATTGTTTTTCGGAGGGCAAACTAATTTACGCCATTATCTTGCACCAAATGTGATAGACCCTCCCAAAGAGATCACCTTGTTTAATGATCTAAATGGCTACCATCCATGCAATAAATGGCGTAGCTTGCAGATGTGATAACATTAGAAAACGCAAACACAAACACCTTTATGTCACACATAACGGGTAACACCTATAACATTAACAAATGTATTTACTTGTAATAGTAAATTTGTTGTTTATTTGCTCGAATATGCCCGTGCAAATTGCAGTATATTGGAGCACCACCAGGAGATTAAGGGAAGGTTGCGGTTGCGGGAACATGTCAACAACATTAAACGTGGGTATAGAGAACATTCGGTTTTTCGAATCATTTTAGGAGGTTTCACAATAAGATCCCACTTTACTTAAATTTACTGGGAATAGATTTAATCAAACCCCACTGGAGAGGAATGCACAAAAAAAGAGCTGTGTCGCAACTAGAAATGAAATGGATATACGAACTCCATTCTTTACAACCTAACTGGACTTAATATAGAGGTAGACATTAATTGTTTTATTGAAAACAGTTAATTGGGTAATAGTTTGTCCTTATCACCTGTCCTCTGTTGTTCTATATGAAGAAATAATATTTGGGATACCTGGGGTGTCACCTTATCACCAGCCTCTGTTGTTTTATATGAAGAGAATTATTCATAGTTCCTTAGATTTTTTTGATTTTAGGATTTTTACCCTTTTATTATTTTATTTTTGTGTTAATTCATGCTTTCACTCTTATATATGTGTATGTGGGTTTACACATATATATATATATTTTTAACATACAGTTTTATACAATTCTGTTAGTTTCATCTATGGTCCTAATAATTTGATATTTTTTTTTCTGTTTTTGTCTTTTTGTGAGATACCTCAGTATATATCTATATGCAAAGATTCTATAATATTTTATTTTGTTTTTGTGAGGGCCATATGATGTTACATCACCTCCATTTGGAGTATTTAGCCGACTTGGAGGTGGCATGTACATACTACTTGGTCCTTTACTGATGTCATTATTGATTTTGTTTTTTTTATTATGTTCATTTTGGATTAGCACATGCGCAGTAATCACTTTTTTTATGTAGCACTGATTATCCCTAGATATTCCCTCATTAGGGGGTCATTTATACCATTCCAGTTCTTTCTGCTGGGGTATAGTCATTCTCATGGTTTTAATATCTTTACTCAACCTCTGCTCAAGGGCGTTATATTCTTCGCCCTTATGTAGTCTCAGCAGTTTACAGTATATACAGACAGTTTTGCCTGTATTGCTTATCTACCCGGGGAGACCAAGGGAAAATGGCGCGCGTCTATTCGCGCATGCGCAGTTTGTTCTGCACGTCCCGTCAGGCTACACCTCATTGCGCATGTGCGCACTTCCGTTTAAATACAAGTGACGGACGGCATGGCGTGTTTGGCGTGTTTGGCAACCCCCTCTGAAGACGTGCTGGTGAGGAGCACGACACGCGTAAGGAGGACGCCATAACACGCCGTGAAGTCACGCCGTCAGAGCAACGCGGAGCTCTGGCGGCCATTTTATCATTCCAGGACGGTTAGTTGTGCACTATTGACTGTCTGCAACGCTGTATACTAAGCTCAATAAACCATATTTTATTACAAAATACTACACTATGGGAGTATCTTTGGTACCCCTTGGGGGAGCATTCTAAATTTTCAGACCCACTCCTGGACACACCGGAGGGACCCAGACAGATCTCTGTATACGTCCAATATCAGGGGGACCCTAAGTGGAGAGGATCATCTGCAGCCTCATACACAGCTGAGGAAGGACCACCCAGTAATCGGATGACATCTGGATCACTTATACACAAAGGCGCATATTTGATGCGGGTCTGGTGAGTGCGCATTGTTTATCACTTACGTGCACGGATACCAGAACCAAGTCACTTGAATCCTACAATGTCATGTGGTCACTACTCGGGAGTAACAATTCACTTTTTGTCATCTAATTAAGGAGGACTTTTGTATTTGGATCAAACTGATTGTCTGTTTTTTATATGTCAGTACCCTATACATGTTTAGTCCGCACTGAGTAACAATTCTGTGCACTTTATTCAGTAACAATTCTGTGTCTGTCCCTGAGTAACAATTCTGTGTCTGTCCCTGAGTAACAATTCTGTGTCCCTCAGTAACAATTCTGTGTCCCTCAGTAACAATTCTGTGTCCCTCAGTAACAATTCTGTGTCCCTCAGTAACAATTCTGTGTCCCTCAGTAACAATTCTGTGTCCCTGAGTAACAATTCTGTGTCCCTCAGTAACAATTCTGTGTCTGTCCCTGAGTAACAATTCTGTGTCTGTCCCTGAGTAACAATTCTGTGTCTGTCGCTGAGTAACAATTCTGTGTCCCTCAGTAACAATTCTGTGTCCCTCAGTAAAAAAATTCTGTGTCTGTTTCTGTCCCTAAGTAACAATTCTGTGGCCCCCTAAGTAACGTTTTCTGTGGCCCTAAGTAACGTTTCTGTGGCCCTAAGTAACGTTTCTGTGGCCCTAAGTAACGGTTCTGTGTCCCTCAGTAACAATTCTGTATCCCTCAGTAACAATTCTGTGTCTGTCCCTGAGTAACAATTCTGTGTCCCTAAGTAACAATTCTGTGTCTGTCCCTGAGTAACAATTCTGTGTCCCTAAGTAACGTTTCTGTGGCCCTAAGTAACGGTTCTGTGGCCCTCAGTAACAAATCTGTGTCCCTCAGTAACAATTCTGTGTCTGTCCCTAAGTAACAATTCTGTGGCCCTAAGTAACGTTTCTGTGGCCCTAAGTAACGATTCTGTGTCCCTCAGTAACAATTCTGTGTCTGTCCCTAAGTAACAATTCTGTGTCTGTCCCTGAGTAACAATTCTGTGTCCCTAAGTAACGTTTCTGTGGCCCTAAGTAACAGTTCTGTGGCCCTCAGTAACAATTCTGTGTCCCTCAGTAACAATTCTGTGTCTGTCCCTAAGTAAAAATTCTGTGTCTGTCCCTGAGTAACAATTCTGTGTCCCCTAAGTAACGTTTCTGTGGCCCTAAGTAACGGTTCTGTGTCCCTCAGTAACAATTCTGTGTCTGTCCCTAAGTAACAATTCTGTGGCCCTAAGTAACGATTCTGTGGCCCTAAGTAACGTTTCTGTGGCCCTAAGTAACGATTCTGTGGCCCTAAGTAACGTTTCTGTGGCCCTAAGTAACGTTTCTGTGGCCCTAAGTAACGATTCTGTGGCCCTAAGTAACGTTTCTGTGTCCCTAAGTAACGTTTCTGTGGCCCTAAGTCACGTTTCTGTGTCCCTAAGTAACGTTTTCTGTGGCCCTAAGTAACGTTTCTGTGTCCCCTAACTAACGTTTCTGTGTCCCTAACTCTCTCCCTGAATACAGCCAGGTCTGCCTCTGTTGAATGACTGGAGGCAAATGGAGAATTCTAAAATGGCCGCCATTTATAGCTCGACCATTACACAGTGCTGGCTGGCTGGCTGCTGATTGGCTAATGCGATCACATGTCATGAATGAATGCATTATGGGTCAGCGCGCCTTGTCTGACATCCCCGCTCCGTCGCCGCACATGTCGCCGCCATTTTAGGAAAAATTTCGATTCGCGCATCCGAAGTCTGCTTATTTTCGGAATTCGGCGCGAATCGAAATTTTTCTAATATTCGAAACGAATTCCACTTCGCCTACTTCGATTCGCTCATCTCTAATGATTACAATTGTTTCTGTGATAACTAAATTCTTATTTCAGCAGGTACTATGAGAGTTTATCAGAAAGACTTTGAAAAAAATGGCTCCTGAATGTGGAGCTTTTCAGTCAATCCGTTATATATTTTTAATCAGTTGTTTTTAAAGAGTAATAGTCATTTGTAATCTTAAAAAAAGCTATAATTAAAGCTATTAAAAGCTAGTGCAGATGTTTGAACAGATCAGAATACGTTGGTATTTTGCAAGTGATATAATTTGTCCGACAAGCTGAAAACCCATCTTCATCTCTCTCTGTGGTGCCAAACACATGTAATGTTTCATATTAAAAGTCAGTTTTGCTTTGGCCATTGGGAGTTTTGAGTTTAAATAATAAAAAGAAATTTCAAGGAAGTGGGAAACTGTAAAAATGTAGCAGGGGAATATGTGTTGAAATATCAATGCACTTATCCCAGTGTTTAACGAATGCCTGGAAAGCTTCAGCATAGAAAGATTTTCTCAGTAATCAACCATCCTGCTTTACTTAGTCATCATTGTGTTCACTGTTCCCACAGAAAGATTTGTCTCTTGTGCAGTTTCATGACAGGTCGATTGGCCAGAATCCGGAGTTCCACGCACTGAATGTTTACAGATATGACTGCTGTGGGCTGGAAACCACCACAGGCTGGGATAGTCACTGACGGATGGATGTCCATCTTTAAAATTTTGACACTAATCAACTGTCTTACTGCTGCTGAGCATTTCATCACCAAACTGTGCTTGAAGTCTTCTGTAGATATCCGTGGATTTTACAAAACCTTTGTTCACAAGAAACTTCATCACCACAACGCTGTTCCATGATCGCACTAACACTGTTGTCTGCCATGGTCAATTAATGATCTGTGGACTGGCCCACAACATGTGCACACCTATCAGTAATAGAACACTTGCCATTTACTACTGCATGTAGTACCGCCATGCTAGCATCCCTTTTTATATCTCTACAATTTAGTGTCAGTTCACATGTATGCAGATTGATGCGGCTTGAAATCCAATGCACATGACATGTTGAAATAACATTGCCTCCTATGGTGCCTATTCACATATGTCTGGAGCACTGTAAAGATTCATTGAGGTTTTGTAAAAGAGTTCTGGATGATTTTCTCTGGGGCAGTGCCTTCAGGTTCAGGTGCATAATTACAGGCTATTGACTTCTATGGAACAATTTCTAAACTGCACATCTGTGAACAGGATAAAATCCTAACCTAATGCTGTCCTGAATCTGATGTAAACCTGACATGGATTGATGAACAATTACTGTGTCAATTATGGCTGTGGAACCTGAGCTTCAATCTGCAACCACACATGTGTGAATCAGCTCTATGGGCCGGTTACATAATAGAAACGCAGTCTGGATGCATTCCGGATACGTTTCTGTATGCACATTTTCGATGCGTTCCAGTTAATTTTTTCTGTCATCTTTTTTCTTCTACTTAACCACTTTGAGCTCCTGAGGATTTTACCCCCCTTAATGACCAGGCCCTCTTTTTGCTACTCGACGCTGCACTAATTCAACTGATAATTGCGCTTGCGTGCGGTCATGCAATTGCTGCACCTAAACAAAAATTTTCACAGACAAATACAGCGCTTCTTTCGGTGGTATTTGATCACCTGTGTGCGCTTTTTTATTTTTCACCGCTATAAAAACAAAAAAAGACCAAATATTTTGAAGAAAAAACAATATTTTTTACTTTTAGCTATAAAAAATATATAGTATAGTGAAAACTTGAAAGTTGGTTATTAAATTTAGGCCAAAATGTATTCTGCTCCATGTTTTGGTAAAAAAAAAAATCCCAATAGTGTAATGAGTATTGATTGCTTTTGTGTGAAAGTTATAGCCCCCCGGTCTAACAAACTATGGTATAGATACTAGGCACACTTACGACATTTTTTTGCTATACATGCGCTGCGCTAGTTAACGCAACAATTGCGCGGTCATGTCAATATGGTACATAAATGAAATTTATGTCCTTTTTTAAACACAAATAGAGCATTCTTTTGGTGGTTTTTGATCACCTGGGTGCACTTTTTATTTTTTTGGCGCTATAATAAACCAGAAAAAGTTTTGAAGAAAAAATTTTTTTTTTTAAAAAAACAATTTTTTCTCATTTTGGTCATAAAAATATCTAAAAAAAACTAAAATTTCGTCCATAAATTAAAGGCCAAAATGTATTTGCTACATGTTTTGGTTAAAAAATCCCAATAAGTGTATATATTGATTGCTTTTTGTGAAGTTATCTATGCCGTCGAGTCTACAAACTATGGTATAAGATCAGTGAGTGGGCAACCATTTTTTTTCGAAACTGAGCTCTAAATCTTCGCCAAAACCCGATTGAAATTTATTTTGAGAGCCACATTTTTAATGAATTTGGAAAACTTAATACAAAGGATTGGTAACTGTTTTCTAGTTTTCAATAAAGTTTTTTATAGTAAGGTTCATCCCCATAGCTAATTTCACTCCCCCATATAGTAATTCATCCCCCATATAGTAAATCATGGCCCCATATGTAATTTCATCCCCCTAGTAATTTCATCCACCCCATATTGTAAATTCATCCCCCATAGTAATTCATCCCCCATATAGTAATTCATCCCCCATAGTAATTCATCCCCCCATAGTAATTCATCCCCCCCATATAGTAATTCATCCCCCATAGTAAATTCAATGCCCCCATATAGTAATTCATCCCCCATATAGTAAATTCATCCCCCCATATAAGTAATTCATCCCCCATATAGTAATTCATCCCCCCTATAGATAATTCATCTCCCCCATAGTAAGATTCATCCCCCTTATATAGTAATTCATCCCCCCTATAGTAATTCATCCCCCCATATAGTAATTCATACCCCCCCTATAGTAATTCACTCCCCCATATTAATTCATCCCTCATATAGTAGTAGTAAGTGAAGTTGCAAGTAGTAAGCCAAGTCCCCCTTGTGTCAATTCACTTACCTTTGGCTTCCGCGCTTTCCTCTTCGCCGTGTTCCCGCGCCGTTACGGTCTTCAGGGCGGACTGTGAGAGGAGCCTAGCTCCTCTCACGTTCGTCATCTGCTGCCAACCGCCTACACACATCCTGACAGCCATCACTTGGCTATCAGGATGTGAGTGCAGCGAGACTGGCCAATCATTGCATTTGAGTAGCGCGCTGTGCCCTGGCTGTTTTTTTTTTGGATCACGCTGCAGAGTCTCCTCTGCCGCCCGAAGGGGGAGGGAGTGGGGAGTGGGGCGTGCACGGCAACACAGAAGAAGCCGCATTGTTAAAGGCGTGTAAAGATGACACGCATGTTGGCTCGTGAAAGCCGGGGCCTTGGCTCGACCACTGGTACTAGATAATGGAAGTGGAGTACACAGCGTTTACTTCCTGACTGCCAATACGCAGTTTCTGTGGAGGTGCTAAAAATACCAGTAAATAGTACCAAACACCCTCAAATGGAGCCCCTTTATCGGACAAGTAGACACCCTAAGCTATCTGCTGATGAAGGCATATTGAAGTCGCGATGGAAGATTCTATTTTTGTTTTCACCACAAGTTTCCTGGAAAAATGACAAATACTTTTTTTTTTTTTTTTACACGAAGTTGATCAATTTTTAAAATTTATTTATTTTCTCGCACAAGCCATGGGTATATGTGGAATTACACCCAAAAATACATTCTGCTACTGCTACTGAGTATGGGGGAATACCATTATGTGGTGAGACTTTTTGGGAGCCTAGCCTACATCACGGAGCCTGAAATCCAATGACGACACTTTGAATCAGCCTGAAGGGTGCATAACTTCCTCACTACACTTCCTCACTTACCATATGCACAGATTTTTGAAGGCCCTGACATGCCAGGATAGCCCCAAACCCCGGCCCCGTCAAAATGACCCCTTTCTAGAAAAAGTATACCACCCCAAGGAATTTAAAAAAGAGGCATGGCATGGTGAGTTTTTTGTCAGATCTCATGTTTAATTTAGCTCACAAGGTTTTGAAATACTAAAAATATATAGAAATAAAATATGTTTTTGTTTTTCTTCTTCATTTTCCGAAAATACTTTTAGTGGCAACAAATAGAATCTTGCCAATATACTTACCAGTGCGTTTTAATATCGAAATTCCTTGCGGGGGGGTCTTACTTTCACAAAAGGGGTAATTTGGGGGGGTTAGGTGCTATTCCTAGGCATTTTTCAATGGCCATCCGGAAACTGTGATAGGTAAGTCTGTGATAGTCTGTAATGAGCAAATAAGCTCTTTAAAAGCTGAAGGTGCTTATTGGATTTTGGGGTCCTGTACTTGGCTAGACTGCAAAAAGTCTCTCATACATGTGGTACCCCCATAACTCGGGAGAAGTAGCAAAATGTATTTTGGGGAGTAATTCCACATATCAAACATATGGCGATGTGTGAGGCAGTAAATCATTTCAATGACAATTTTGTGTAAAAAAAAAATAAACTATTTCACTTTGTCATTTTCCAAAATCCCGTGTAAAGAGAAAAAAAAGAAAAATATAAATTCTTCTATTGATTACCAACAATCTCTCTCAGCAAATAGTTTGGGGTGAATACTTTCCAAAAAGGTAGGTCATATTTGGGGGGGTGGGGGCGTTTTTATGCCCAGCATTAGCAAGTTTA